ATATATATTTACTACCGGCTTGGAGACAAGCATGGTACCAACGCAATAACAATAGTAAAAATAAAAATAAAACGGAATAGGTGGATTAGAGTACAGAATATAGTGAAAAAGAGGTGAAACAGTTAAACATGGGAAAATACAAGATAATATAATATTTTGTGTGTTTCACCGTACACCTTTTGCAATTTTTTGTGTTGTTTGAGCAACAATGTTGAATTTTAACAATGAGAGAGTGCGTGCATACGAGTAACAATTGTTTCAGTTTATCCAATGGAATGCCCACATCGATGTTATTTCTTTGAATAAATCCACTTATGTAATTGATAGTTCCATTACTTGGTAACTTTGTGAATATAGAAGTAACGTCAAATGAAATCATCTGTTTGCCTTCGAATTTGAGGTCCTTCACAGTTTGTACAAGATGAAGCGTGCCTCGTAGACTGTGCTTGCAAGTGGTGAGTCTCACTGGTTCCAGTACGCTTGCTAACCATTTCGCAACGGCGTGATACGGTGAGTTGCACATATCTAAAATTGGCCTCATGGGGACACTCTCTTTATGGAGCTGGACATTTGACGTTACTTCTTTATTCACAAATGTTTCAATTAATGAAACTATCAATCACATATGCGGATTTATTCAAAAGAACAACAAAGGCATTCCATTGAATGAACTGAAACAATTGTTATTCGTGCGCATGCACAACGTCCAGTTTCAATTCGGTGCTGAACTATGGCGCCAGAAGGATGGGGTTGCAACGGGGTCACCATTAGGACCAGTATTCGCTCACACGTTTATGGCCAAACTGGAGAATGATCTCGGGAGACCTATATCAGACATTGCATCCTATATAGACAATATGTTGATGATGTGTTTTGTATATTAAAGGCAAACGTGGACACCAATCGATTTGGTTCAAAGAGCGAAGAAAATATGCACGACGGACACTATAGATAATGAACTTCAGTTTCTACGTATTGTTTTTGTTTAGAATAGCTACCCCGATAAAACACGAGTAACGGCCAAAGGAAATAGGAGCAGCGAAGAAGTCTGTCCATGTGCACCTGCCGTTCAATGGAGATACGGAGGCAGAAGTTTATTAAAGAAAGCTAACAAGTGCAGTAAGTGGAACACTTTACGCTGCACAATTCAAAGCTATGTTCACATCCAAACCAATTATGTGTTTTCGACTGATAGTAATAAATTCTGCAGCCTCATTCTGTGTAAATTCATTCACTTGTTCCTGCGGAACTGGGTACATTGGCCGCAAGACCAGGCGCTTATCCGATCGCGTTCGCGAACACCACCCGACTTGGCTGAGGACTGGAACAATTAAGACAATTACGAGTGCGGTGTGTTTGCATTTCGTTGAGTCAAACCAATCGGTAGATGTGACAAGCGCGTTCCGACCGATATACAATGTTCGATGCAGGCAATCAAGAGCAACGAAGCGTAGTATCTTAGCCACGAACGAAGCCGTAATTATTCGGATTCACACCCCCCCCCTCCACCCCTTGTGAGCCCAGAAGAAATTTGTGCAAGCACTTAATCTCCCCTGGCTCACTTTAGCCACTCCAACACGTAATTGTAATTTGTAATTTACTTCCTTTTATTGAATACACAACGAAAGAATTTTCAGGAAGGGGAAGCGGCCAATCAAAGGGCTGTCATAGGGAAAGTCAGGTGGTGGTGGTGGGGTTCGAACGCACGTCCCTCGAGGTGGTAATTTAGTGACGTTACCACCGGACCACCACCACCCAAAAGCTAGGAAGCACTGGACAGCTGCTTCAACCTGGTTGGGTTTCATCAGCAGTGCTAATCCATCAAACCAACTGGGGGGATCGAACCCGGGACTTCACAGGTAGAACGCAAGCATGCTACTTACCCGACCGTCGGGCAACTTGAACTTTCGCGTTACCACACACGCATGATTGGAATCATAGCTAAATCATTAGGACTCGAATATCTCATTCTCTGTTTTGTTCTTATTGTTAGTCATATTTAACGTTATGTAATGACATGATTACGAATAACTGAAAACGAGCTTGTTCGCTCCGCTGTTCTCAATGTGTTCTGTTGGACTAATGAAGCATTTGACATTGTTGGGAATGAAATGGACCCGATTTAGGTCACTGGTATTCTAGCTACTTGTGTCCATATTTTGATCGCACTTATGCACCAGTATATGTGAGCAATGCATTCCTTTAAACGGTCCTACCACCAAGTAGAGTTAATATGTGAAAACTCGAGGGAATTTTGATCCCAGGCAAAACTTAAGAGCTAGAAATTTCCAACAATTTCCTTTAGAATTAAGCGCTATCTGAACGTTCTGAATGGTATGGGTATTCTCTGTTGTGAGCGAAATTCCATTATGGTTCGCATCGGTACCAATTATTTATATGCGATTAAAAAACAAAAGTAAGCACTCCTATGTCGATGATTGACAATAAAGCATTTTTGGCTAGTTTACGGTGTGCATTAGATCACGTGTATTTCAAACAGACATTTTTTTAGAGTATCAAGCTTGGATTAGCCCATTCGATTGTTCAGAGGCACCAGGCACTCTTGATGGTCTTTTTTATTACAGGCTTATACGTTTACCATTTCTGTCAACATACATGGCCCAAACTGATCACACAAAAGTTCGGTCTGCCACAAAATCGATACAATCCTTTGTGTCCGAATCCGTGCTCAATTAGACTGGGTCGATGTAGCAATATAAGCCACACAATGACCCCCGTTCGAGGCTTAAACGCACTGGCCTCCATCAGTGAATCCAACTGTGTCAAAGTTGGCCGAGGATTCTTCGCCAATGAGTACGCTTGCCTATGCGAACCAGTAAGTGCGTCAACTTTTTTCATTAATCTATGAATGAGTCTTATTTTACGTAATCGGAATTTAAACCAAGGTTTTGACTTTACCTCACTATACCCTATTCCGAGAAAACTTATACTAGTGTTGTGAGATACTACTCACTTGTGAGTAGTCGGTAACTTTCGGTGATTAAATATAGAACAAGCCCATCAAGGACCAAGTAATATATTTGGGAAGAATAAACACTGCCTCTATCCCATTTGCCCATGTGCCGTGAGGTGCTGCGAAGGCATGTTTCTGATGAGCTTTTCGTGTTATGCATCCAAAATTAGTGACCCTCCATCTGTAATCTGTAATAAAGAACTCTCCTCGACCAGCACCGCCTTTTCGGAATATAACACTAGGAATAAGAGTTGTTATTACCTTTATCAACTGTACTTTCAATCCATTAACATTAACCTGCAACTCTCAACTGATTCTCCCAGGACTTTTGAGCCCGCTCACATTTATCGTTCGTTTGAGAGAACTCTACTTAAACATGCAGAACTGTGAGATTGGGAACAGTACTATCTGCTAATGAGTAAAACATTGTGATGAAACCAACGCTATTTGTGATGAATATGTATGTGGCTGCAGGCTATTCATAGAAACGTTGTCCTGAGTTAGACCGATACGATAATTTAATTTTCCCAAATGAATGAATCTTATCAATAGTTCGCGATACTGTACTTGCAACTGTGATTGATTTGTTGCAATAAGAAATGCATATGTGGTCTTGATTCCCTCCGGCATGACATTAATCTGTTATCCACTGTGTTATCGCATCAATAAAATAAGGTTATTTTTTAATATCTATCTGAACAGTGCTTGATTCACACAATTCGTGATTTGAGGTGTAGTATTAAATTTGGTCTTTAAGTAGTATGAATGCACTGCAGATTTTGTTCACATCCACAAATAACTGGAGCCAACAAAAACAAGATCTACTTCCGCTTACCTCAAATTTGATCTGGGTCTCATTTTTCCAGATGCAATCGCTGTATTTTCTCTCACAGCGTTCCCGATGGTTTGGAATTCCACATTACTACCACCACTTCTTCTACAACTGTTATAATTCCAAAAGGCGGTTTCTGGGCGAGGATAGTTATTTATTATGAATAAAGGTCAGGGTATCGGAAATTGCATTACATACAACAAAATGTCTCATTTAGAAAGAGTCTTTAAAATTCCCACATGCACACAGAATACTTACTGGAACGGTCCACCAATAGATGCGCATTCTTGTAGTTCGCTCCAACAAGTCTTGCTTATTACTGACAGGTGTGAGTAGTATCCCACAACACCACTACAACTATCACTGCTGCTATCTTTACTACTTATTCCATGTTCACATGTTTTCCGTTAACCAGGGATACCGTTGGGAACCGGTCACAAAATCTTGTTACCCGCCGGACATTTGTGCCGAGAACGCGCTCTATGTGAAAAAGAACAATTTGCCCGAAAGTGCATTACTGTGCTCGCCTGAGGGCACCCTGAAATGCATATCGGATCCAAAACACGTGGCATCCATGCACGAAACGGAAGAGATGTATATATTGCGCACGCAATTGAATATGCGCTATAAATGTATCTGCCGAAATGCATTTATGGGAGTTCGGTGTGACCGGTATCGGGATGCATGTGTTGAGGTGAGTGGAATGTATTGGACATTGGTATTGATGAGCATACGATCGGCAAATTACCGAACTGCACAAGAATACGCAGTGCAAGCGAAGAATACTCGTTGTGGTGAAAGACATCGTTTGAATTTAACAGATGGCACATTGATCCTCTCTTCAAAAATAGCAGATCAATAACTGACTTTATGTAGTTGATTTGTTGGCAACCTTGCATTGGTAATCCTGGTAAGCTCCGGTTGGCGACGACAGATACACTATTGGCACGTTTATATTACCTCCCAAATATCTAAAATGAGGGTGTTTCATATTTCATGCCACACTACTTAATAGTAGTCAACCACACAAAATGAAAATTCGTGTCATTGTGATGCAGTGAAGTACGTAGTTTATTCAGTAGAATAAAATTTTAAACGGATAGAATGTGATCTGCAAATTAGTGGGTCTTATCATTAGTGTGAACTCATCGATTCATAAAAAGATAGGAACAGGGACCTTATAGGCGGCATTTAGGCTCGCTACCTACTTGACTACAAACGAGTAGATCAAATAATTTCACACTTGTTACATACGATACAACAAGGTTATTTTTAAGGTTGCATGTGAGTATAAGAAGATTTGATTCGATTTTATCATGTAAATGGACAATGGAAAATGTTCTGATCAACTGCGCTTTGGGCGAATGGGAAGTATACTTGCGTTTTGCCTGAGGTCCCGGGTTCGATCCCCGGTTGG